GATGCAGCAAGCAGATGTCTCTGTATTTGTTACCTTCACATCACAATTTAGGATTTAATTTCCAAACATGAGATTTGGGGGTTTTTTTCCAGAATTAATAAAGAAAAAAAATAATTCTGCCTTCCTCAAAACTGCAGGTGTGAGGAAGTCGATCAAAGCACTACCTGCATCAGCCCTTCACATTTCTCTACATTCAGAGTAACCTCTTCCAATCACACCAAGATAATCACCCCAGCTGAGAAACCTCAAACATGAGAACTGCGCTGACTGACAAAAGCAACCCAGGTGGGGCTGACAAAAAAAGCAGCATTTAATCACAGATCTCAACATGCAGAGTTGCTATCACAGCATCCACACTACTATCGGAAATCACGAAGCATGCCAGATGGATGCTTACTTACTGTATATGTGAAATTTTAGGTGTCTGGTATAGTTTATCCAGTGCTGATCCCAGTGCATGCACTGTAGTAGCCTGCAGATCCACACAGGGATTGTACAGCCTAGCTTCTAGCACAGGATACAGCTTGGGGCTCATGTTAAGAGCTCCATATAAACATCTCTGGATTTGTACCTTATACCCACCTGAGACTGAAAAAAACTGCCAAGTGTACATAAAGAGATCATGGGCTACCATTCCTTAAAAGCAACTTATACAAGTATTGTGGCAGTACCATTACTACCCTTAATTTTGCATTTTTTGCAAAAGTAATAATTGCTTTCTTATATTAATTCTCTCAGCACTGAGATTTCAAATCTTTTTGGAAAGGCTTTGTTCCAGCTGCTGTGCTGATGAGGTTAGCTGGTACCTCATTCACTGGAAGCTTCACTAATTCTTTTGCTTTTTCTGATGGTTGCAGACCAGATGATTGTACATGTACATTGTACACTATTAACTGATGGCAGGAACTTATCTTCAAGTAGCTGCATTTTTCTGTTTAAGGCACACAGAGCAGCACTGGATAATTTTATGTTCTAAGCAAAAACTCTTTCATAGGCAGTGCCCAGAGCTGACAAGGCTCTGTGTGTTCAAGGCCATCAAACAGCTGGTGAAACACTGGGTTTATCTCTGTCTCAGATGTGCTGGTAGCCCTCAGCACTGGCTGAGAATGACAACTTTGAAGCTAAACCTCAGTAACAGCTTTATTGTTTGGGTTTGTTGTGTGGGGTTTTTTTTTTTTTTGCATAGACTAATGCAGGCCAGAAAAGTTACCTCGCATTTCCGAAGCCCAAAATAAACCATATCCAAACATATGGATTACATGTATTTCCAGCAAAAACCAGGAAAATAACAAACTGGAAACTATGGATTATGTTGTCTTGTTGTATGGGTTTGTTATTTTTTCCTGGTAAAGTATACTTCTAACTGGTCACAGAAGATTTGGATGAGACTTTTATTTATCAGAAAGCCACTCTCAGACCCATGACATGCTTTGAAGTCCTGGGTATGAAATACTTTAGGCTGACAAATACCCATGGCCATGCATGGCAGCTAATGCTATGGAATTAAAGCTGGGATGGTCCTGAGAGGGGTGGGGAAGAGCAGTGTGAATTTACAACCCAGGCAGCTACTGAAGCAATGCTAATTGACTTTTCATGCTAGTAAGGGGAAGGACATAAAAGTAGGAAGGTAGAGAAATTTTACTTTACAGCTTCACTAATTTGTGCTGTTAGCACCATCTGCCCTGTCTTCATTGAGGATGAAATCACTGCAAAGATTTGTTCACTTTAATGCACAAGCACAAAAGGACATAAAGAGAAACTTCCAAGAGGGTGGAAAGACACTTGGAAAAGGCATATCAAAATGAAACAGCATAATTCCCCCTCTGACCACACACAGAGCTCACTAGACCACATCAAAGGATGTTAAAAGGAAAAAGAAATCAAAAACCTAAAAGGGAAAAAAAGAAGTATTTTCCAAAGAAACTGACAAAATATTGTCCAAGTAGTGTATAATAGCAGACAAAACTGCTAACTACTGTTATTCCCATCTCTTATCTCACAAGACTATGAGCAGTGATACTAGGTCACACCAGGTCACTATCTGGTCTCAGCAATTCCCAAACACACACTCTTCCCCTCCTTGAAACCTGAAAGGGACACTCAAAATGATCCAGCAGCTCCTGGCAAACAGCGGTTTATGGGACATACTTCCTGAGGTAGAGTCTGCATCCTATTTCATCATCCTCTCCCTGAGCCCCCATAACCACTTACCGTATCGATGAACTGTAGCACATCATTCAGCAGCAAGGGCACCATGGCAGTAACTATCATTCCCTTAGCTGATAAAGTACTTCCTTTTGCTTGTTGTGAATCTGCTGGTCCCATGTTTCATGAGGCATCCATTGGTACTTCATTTCTCACGTGCTCCCTTACCAGCATTCATGGCCATACAAAAGGCGACCCCCACTTCCAAGCCAAAGAAGACAAGCCTGTTTAATAGTCCTGATAATAATATTTTCTTCTGGCCTTCTTTCCTTTTACAGTTCTACTATACAAGCCTTAAGACAACCTGCATTTGCTATGCCAGGTAGACATGCACTGTTATTTTCTACTGGAACACGATTTTAAGTTTTGTTTTGCTCTTACACTTAGTCTTTTTCCACTGTTTGCTGTTACTCAGCAGATCACTATAGCTAAAACCAAGATGGAAAAGGCAAGGCATGGTTAAGGTCAACTGAGGACATGTAACCACTACCTGCTCTTTAGAATGATGCTAAAACACTTGATAAACTTCAAGTGAGAATTTAGACACCTCTTTTAGAGGGCTAGTCATAGCCTATTATATAAGTAATATTTTTTAATTGCCACCAATGCATTTCTGAATGAAAGAGTCTACTGGGGTGACTTTATGATGGTGAATTGTATCCCAATTTGTCTGTTTAGCCCAGAAATAAGTTCTGCACCTTTAAAATTAAATCCAAGAGTGAAGGGATGGGGAAGCAGTGGCACACAGTTTGTGTGTGCAGAAGCTTCATTCTCACTCCCCCAGCATTCCCTTTCTCTCGGTGCATATTGTCTGCAGCACATAGCAGAAAAAAGCTCTCCTTTGCTTTTAGTTAGTTTTTTCTAGCTAGCTGAGGCAGAGAAGTTCCCTGGAGTGTGGGTTTTCTTTTTGTGGAACTGAATAGCCCTGCTCTGGACCAAAAACCCAGAAAAACATCAGGAGCTTATGCCTACAGCCCACCAGGGCCTGGAACACGGTATTTTCCAGTGCAGGAGGGAGTGATAAGAGACTGAGCAAGCCGAGCTACACCCCATGGAAAAGGACTATCTCTGAATTTGCCATCTCTTCAGAACAACAAAAGGTTCCATTATCTATTATTATTCATTTTCTCATGTTTGTGAATACTTAGCTTATTAAATAAACCGTTTTTTCCTTTTTTCTCAAAGGAGATTTATGTCTCTTGAACTGGTGGGGGGAGGGGGCCTCTTGAATTTGCTTTCTAGAGGGACAGCTTTGGAGGTATCCTCCCAAATTTGCTCTAAACCAGGACAGAGAGCCTCACAGAGAGGTTTACATAAAGGTAGAGAGTTTGAAAAAGGAATTTCTTCATTTCATGGAATTCCAAGATCATAAAAATTTAAAATTAGTAATATGTTATTTTAGATTAACAGCTGATCTACCAGAATAGTATATTTCCATTAATGTTTGACACTGTAAACACCTGTACTAAATAAATATCTGCTTCACTTGGGAGGTGGGTATGAGCCAGAGTAACAAACATTTTAAGTTGTCAGTCATACTCCAGGGTCCTGAAACAAGCCTGCATTTGTAAAAACCCATATTTGAGAAAGAAGGCTATAGTAATGGATTTGATTTCTTTCTTAATGTCATAATTGAAAAAGATGGCTGAGGTAAACACTTTTGATGCATTTTGAACACATTTGATACATCTCAAAAATACTAAAATTATTTTTGCCATAGAAAAACTTTATTTAAATTTGCTGTAAATTTTTCATAGTCTTACAGACGAATAAAAGCCCCCAGCTTTACAAAGACAAGGCTTATAGGGAGAGTATAAAAAGGTGAAACAACAAGGAAATTGCAAGAATATAGTACCTTTAGACCATCAGAAATACATACTTTTTACTAGAGAGTCATACCTTTTCCATTTCTGTTACTTTATTTTACAAAGTCTTTGTGGGTTGATAAATCTCACCTTGGTGTCCTGCACAGACACCAAAACAGCATTTTGAATCATTGTCTTGGGTGAATTTTGTTTGAAAATATCTCCTGAGGCTATTCAACAGGATATTTGCCAACAAAGCAGCTTGTAAAAACACAGACTGAGCAGAAGAAAGATAGACTGATATTATTTTCAAGATCATACAAAGGACCCCTATATACTTCAGACAAGGAAGATAAAGTTTTTCTGAACATTTAAAGCCAGCCATTTGTAGGAAAACATTTTAACAGAGTAAAAGCATGAGATTTTAGTAAAAGCCTGTCTGCACAAGCCAGCCTTTGGTATAAGTGACAATATTAAAGGTAATATCCTTGAAACTCTCCTAAAGCAGCGAGCATGAAAGAAAAAACAATAGCCTTGTATTCTGGGGAAAGAATGTAAACAATACATATTAGCCAATAGTAGCTTGTTAGGCCCGTGGACCCTGTCAGACCCTATAAAAGTGGGCTAAAGATAGAAATAAACGACATTCACTATACCTCCATGAGGACTCAGTGAATAGTCTGAGCGGTTTCTCAATAGCCATTTATAAGGTTCTAGCTGTAAGCGTACATTCTTAATGGCAACCACATCCCACGGTCTATCAACAAATCCCTTTCAGATCAGAAAGGGAATCATATATACTTGTCCTGGGTGACTGTATGGTTCTTTATCCACTATTGCTTGCTTTGTGCATAGGCATGAGTCCTGTAGCTTTAAGTTCAAAAATGGGGAGGAAGCAGTGGAATTCTTTTGGCAGCTGTGTTCAAAACACAGATAACTTGTTGTTTTTTTTCAGCTCTCTTGGCTTTTTTTCTCCAGGGAGAGACACAGAGTTTTTCTTTGCTTTTTTAAGCTAGTTTTTTAGCTAGCTGAGGCATGAAGTTTTTCCTGCGACTGTGGTTTCTTCTTCTGGAACTGTTCAGCTTTTCTCTGGTCCGAAACAGAACATCACCGAGGGCTCCCCTACATGGGCCCAGATGCCAGCTCCAGATCCCGGTGAGCCTGAGCTGACCCACACCTACAGAAAGGACTCTGAATCTACAGCAACAGGTTTTATTATTTAACATTATTCATTCTTTCTCATGCCTGGGAGCACCCTGCTTGTTAAATAAACAGGTGTTTTTCATTTTCCTCCAGAAATTCTTTTACAAACCTGCATGAGGGAGGGGTTGCTGAAATCTGCCTTCTATTAGAGGACATGTTCATTTTGGGACATTTCCTCCCACTTTGTCTCAAACCAAGACAATACTGTAGTTGATTCTCCAAAAATGGCTTTTAGTATAAATAAAAACATTTTTTCTTTTCAGAGTTTAAAAATGTGCTTGACCTCTACTATACTGGCATAAAAAAATCAATTAGCCTGATTTCAATTTCATCTGAATATGGCATTATTGATATGAAGTTTTATAAAGGATGACAATAAGGTATAGCAATCTTCATAATTAATGGCTTTTAACTGGAAAACTATTTTGGGCATTGGGAAGTAGAGCAGAAATTATATTTGAGGAGTACTAGGAATAAGCCTTATGTGACTCTTGACCTAAAGTAAACATTAAAAAAGTGATGCTTATATTAGAAAGATAACTGACCACTTCTGTTTTTATAGAACCAGTGATGGAACATAAGAATTCCATTCCTGAATAACATTTAATATAGCATGTATTATGATGCTATCTGCTCAGCTGTTTTTGGGGTTTTTTTTGGTGCAAAAATATAGTCAAAATCCATCTTCTGAATATTTTAAAGTACTTTTATGCAGAACAACTACGAGGTACTCTAAATTCTATGATGTGTGAAATATTTCAACCAACTATGTCTCAGCTACAGTTATTAAATTACAGCTCATATAATGCTCTCTGACATACTCCACCATGGTATTTTGCAGAACTCCAACAAAATTAACTTTTTCATTTGTCTTTTACCCAGCCTAGTTATTAAGTAAACTTTTCAGTTTTTAGGAATAATCATGTTCTGGGCAATTCCCATAACTGTGTGCAGGGTAATGGGCAGAAGGAAGAATACATCATCTACATTATCTAAAATTTTAAAAATACTCAAGAGTTTGAAAATTATGGAAAACACAAAGTGAATCCATAGGCCTCAGGCAAGGACCATCTTTCACCATTGACAGAAAAACTGGTGGATCATCTATCCACTGTGGATTTTGAGACGACCGAGAAAGAATATTAAGCATAGATACTGTCATCCTTTCATTACGTATGCAGCTTTAATTGTATTTTTATTCAGCCAAAATGAAACAAAATTAAAGAATATTAAAGAATCTCCATCATGTGGGAGCACAGTGACCCCACAGAGCTCACAATGCTAATTTGAATTTTCATATTTCATTTACTAGGCAAATTAAGTGAATGGAAGAACAGCATGGAGCTGTCTGGAACTACATGTATTTGCCTACTCTGAAACACTCTCCTTTCTAAAACAAAACGACAGCCTGAGAGATGAGGATCTTCTTCAGCTTCCACAACTTAATACCAAGTGTTGTTCTGCTCAGAGCTCTCTTCCCCCCCATAACGGAGGCACCAGAAATCCCTGGCAGGGTGCCACACAGCACAAACCCACAAGACCTTGCTTAAAATCAACCTACATTGTCAGATATCTTTTGAGCTAAGGAGCCTGAAAACCTAGGCTGCAAGGCAACCACCAAAGCTGGAAGGGTTTTTAAGAGAAGACTGTTCAGACCAGTCCCTAGAAGGAGATAAAAGACTATGTAAATTAGTGTCATAATTATCTGGTAGACAAGCTTTGGTACTCAGAATTCACAGGTTTTATTTTTAGTTCTGAAAGGAAGTATGCCTTTTATGGTTAATCCCAGTTGGCCTCTTTCTGCTTTCACCATTCCTACCACTTTAACAAGAGAAATTATAGTACTTCTCGTTCAGTTGTTCATAGGTTTTCCTATAATGGTTATGTGGAACGGGGATGAACTGACACTTGCATTGTTTTTCATAGATTTGTACAGCAGAGGTGGCCACAACCAGAACTAATTTCATAATTAATTTCACACTTATGCTTTCTCCAAAATTCTGGCTTTATGTTTAACAAACATATCTTAATGAATATGAATTTAGTCAGCTCAAGCAGTTAGTTCAGATACAGTATTAGGAATCTATCATCCAGATTTGTTTTTATATAAAGAAAATGCAAGTTCTACAGAAATGAAGTGGCTAGACCTTGAGCACATTAAGGAAATCTTACCACCTCCAGACCCTCAATACCCAGAAATATGACTTACTTAGATTATAGGACTCTTTTTTTCCCTCTGTATAACCAGAAATCTTTTTATTTTCAAGTAATGACACTTGCTTTTTAAATTTTAAATCACTTTCTTACAGTCACCCAGAGGTTTGCACTAGAGTCATGTGTCACCCTGCAGATTGGTGATGAGTGAAGAAGGCACCACCATGACTCACTGTCCCCTCAAATAACCTCCAGACTGTTCTGACCGGAGCTGCAGCAGAATGCACTGGCTGCTGACTCAAACAGATGCATACAGCCTCATTCTCTTGCTGAGTACAGTGCCTTCCCTGTGCCATTAAATATGATTCATACACAGCACAGTGCCAAAATCAAAAGAACAGATCAACACTGGCAGACAGTAAATTCTAAGTCTGCTCTTCTTTGAATATTACATGCAAATAATCTGGTATGATAATAATACCTGTATATAGCAACCTGCCTTTCAACCTCAGTAAGGATGTTACAAATTCACCATCTTTAGTACAAACACACAGTCAGTTTGACCATGGAAGCACCCAAAAAGAAACAGATGCCTGACACCAAAGTAAGATAAATTTATGTCAGTTTTGCATCAACTGGTATTACAGAATAATAATAATAGTTGGTCATTAATTAGCAGACTGTGGTGAAAGCACTGACATTAAAAGTCATTAAAACCATGTCCAAAAAACACCTTCAGATTTGAGAGAATCTAACATTAATCTCTATCCCTCAGAAAAGGAGCCAGTGCCTTTGGAAGAAAGAAGGACATGTGACAGAAGAACTTTTGAGCAATGTTGTCAGACAGCATGACATGAAGCAGTTCCTGTCTTGACAAAAAAGTCACAGAGTTGGCTAATAATCCCATCCTTTTCAACCAGACAGGATGTGGTTCTACAAGAAAAGATACACTATTGACTCCGTTAACCTACAGTGCTGGAAATAAATAATGAAAAATGCATTAATTTCCACTGCTCATTACCACTTCCAAAATAGCTGTTACAGGCTTACCTATCATTCACACTATTTTTCAAGAAAATACTGTAATCCAGGGAGAAAAGCATTTCCTAACTCAGTTTTTTTTCCTTCAAGAAAGAACAAATCTGTGTGTTAAACCTAGTGTTTTCATCTACTGATATTTTTAGATATGATGAATTAGTCCCTTCCTATGGTATAATGCAGACTCTCAAACCAGAAGAATTGATTTTGCTGCCTAGATTTAAAAGGTTTCACTAGCAAGGAATTTAACTTACAGTTTTCAGTGATATAAATTGAGGACGGGTTCTAGTAATGCAATAAACAACTGCATCATAAAATAAATTTTGAGATTGTTCTTAATATGGAGATCAACAAGTAATTGTGTGTGCGTTTCATGTGGCTACAATTTTGTTCAGTGATACTTGAAATCCATGTCATAATCCATGAATATAAATTTAGATCTATTCTTTTTTTCAGTCAGTCATTATTAAAGGATCATGCCAACTGTATGACCAAGACATACAGGTCTTCTGCACTCCGTGACTTGATAAACAGAAATACCTATTTATTTACATATCTGTATCCTTCTAGTTTTTTGATCCCTTTCTCCAGTTCGGGCTCCATAAATTTGTGTTAAGTCATCATGTGTATTTGGCATTTAGTTCAGTTTTTGTGCCTCTATCTGCATCAATTTAGGACAACTTTGCAAATTAAGACAGCCTGCATACTGTAATAAATATCAATTTCCAATGGTTTTGCCACTAAAAACACATAAAATGCCAATATTTCACCTTTATAATGTATTTGTGAGAGTTGCTTATGCTCATCAAGTAACTTATTTTCCTCCCATCCAAATCATGATCTCTCAAACTGAGATGAACAAGAGGCTTGAAAATCATCTTCAGCATCCTAGGAGCATAATAGGCTTTGTGGTAGTACTTAAGTTATTAGAAGTTCCTGGGAATGCTCTTCTCAGAGATGTTACTCATGCCTGTGACATGTCAGCAGAGCATGTTGGAGATTGCACCACCAGCCCCAAATGGGATTTTGTGAGGAGTCAGCTCCCATCCTGGCAATACCCGAGAACAGCACAGCCACCTGTGACTCACAACAAGTGAGAGTCTCTGCCAGCTTCTCCAGCTTCGTAGGGACAAGGAGAGCAACAGAAGAGTTGTTCAACCAGCCACAACCCACTTCCTTTCACTGAAGGCCCTCCAGCACCCTCCTTACCAGCCAGACAAAACAGCAAAGGCACATGACCAGACATGGGAAAGCCCTGCATTTTAGCAGTGGTGACTGTACCATTGTCAGGTGACTGAACACAAGTTGTCTCATGCAAATGTGCCCTTCATCACTCCAGAGAAGCATTTCCTGGAGGCAACTGCATCCCATGTGTCCTGTGAACTGCTGTGACTGACCACATACAGACAATACAAGAACATGGCATTCAAACTCCAAAGGGAGCTGTGGAGAGGAACTGAACAAATCAAACATCCTGTCCTCTGAGAACAACAAAGACTGCATAAAGGAGATTCTCATTAATAATCCTTCACAAAAACTTCACAAAAACCACAAAGCTCTCATTCCACTGTCCTTGGACTGACTCACATGGAGAGCACGTATATATCCTGCATCCTATGCAGGAGACAGGTACCAGCTCCATGAAAACACAGCTCAAGAGCAAAAGAGGGGATCGAGGCTCCAGGACAGTGAAGAAATATTGGCCCTCAGGCATTGTAAAGGAAGTAAGAGAAAAGGAACAAATCGCACATTAACACATGTTGTGTCTGCATTTGTATATCAACTTCTTTTTCTTTCTTTTGTCTAGACTATTTTGGTTTCAAATTTCTTTACAAAATTAAGGTTACTGAAGCTAAATTGTTAGCAAGCTGCAGAACCAGAGATTCCACAAAGGGAGCACTTTTAGGAGGGAAGTTTTGAAACTAGTGAAAAATCTTTAAGGAGAAGAGTTCTAAAAACTGTTTTTAAGACAAAGCTGTAGCAACCAGGACGTGGCACAGAACAAGGTGTTTGTAACTCTGAGCCTTGGACCTGACCTCAAGGAGCGTGTTCTGTACGCTGCCCTGGAAAGCCAAACTATGGGAACAGAATTCAAAAATGTGGTCCTGAGGACCACTTTTATCTGTTATGGCCACAGGAATAAACTCGTCACAAGGCTGTTAAATACATCTGTGCATTTCCTAAGAAATCTGGTTAGCCTCTTCTAAAGCCACTTCAGGAGAGGTTGTGTGGCTGGGAATGAAAAGCTTTCTCTGTGTTACATGAAGAATCATCTCCAATCTGGCTGAGATGACATCCCTACAGTCATCAGTCTTGTTAAACAGATCCTTGCAAAAGAGCTGGCAAAATGAGGAAGAAAACAAGATGATGAAGAGGAAAATGGAGTTGATCATGTGTCTAAAGTGAGGAATTTTGTAGGCATCACAGAAAAGGGAACAGTTATTCCTCAAACCTGGATTATATTGTGATGCATTTGTGAACCATCACTCCAGTCTGTTATCCAGAAGTGGTGAGGAAGGTTTCCTGGTTTCAGCTTTTTTTCCCAGAGCTTTGATGAAAACTGTACATCACTGATAATCTGGGGCTCTGCACAAACAAACATGTACTTCTTTCAGTATCCTCTCCTCTATTCAACCCACTGCCTGAAATCAAGGCAAGGGATTCTCTCCTGTTCTTCCCTCCAAAAATGGCAAAAAAGACAACATGAAAATATCACTACAAGGAAGCAAAAGGAAAAACCTACTGGACTTCATCCTGTTCTTCTTCTGAAGTCTTCTGTGGCAGCAGTAATTCTTTCAGAGGGAAAATGGAGACAGCCGTTACCACTGGATATTTGAACCACCTTCAGAGCAAAGAAGAGGGAGAACAAAGACTCCCCCTTTTGACACCAGTAAGCTCTTGCAACAGTTCTCTGAATTTGGAAGGTGATGACCTTATATTTTGGCAGTCACTTACCTGAGGAGGCTATGTTTTAGTTTATACTTCATTCTGGCAACTGTGGGAAAAGAGCAAACCAGCAACGGCTGGAGACTGAGTCTTTTGTGTTAACAGATTCAATATAGACAAAAGCTGATGCTGAAATAGAAGAAAAAAGTCAAAACAACCTGAAGAAGTGGTAAATAGCACAAGTACAGAGCATTCTCTCCCCAGTTCGCCTCACACGCATGTTTTTTTTGTTCTTTGTTGATGAATTCCCCAATCCCTTTTCTCCTCTGCTAGCAGCCTCCATCCCAGTGCAAGCCCCTCAGACAGATCTAGAAGAACCAACACTGCTTGCAAACAGCAGCAGAGAACTAAACTAGGCTCCAGTCATAGCTTGGAACCAAAGACAAGCAGTTTAAGTAGACAACTCCATTGCATTTATGCCTATCCTGTTACTGGTGGTATCCTCTTTCAAACAGTGAGATACAACTTCCTATCTCAAAACATGCAGCACATCCTGGAGGCAAAGGAAGTAGTGGATCCTTTCTCAGCTGAGCAGCAATCCCAGCAGACAAATGAAGGAGTTACAGAGCAACATACAGCCAATTTTTTTGCATGACTGCTAAAATCTTACCAAAACTGGAAATCAGAAATATTGGGGGAAAAAGAAGTCTTCTTTACTATTTATGTACCTCTGAATCATAAGAAATCATAACTGAACTCATCTCTTCTCACAAAAGTACTCAAGAGAATGACTTCTCAATAATAAAATTACAATTCCAGAGTTCATGGTTGAAAGCTATGAGAACTATGAACAGGCTGCAAATCATTGCTTCATGAATCTGAAAAAATTAATGAGATCTGCCTTGTTAATCTCAAAGCCAAGCACTACTGAGCCAATGTCCATGAGGTAGAATTCTGGCCTTTCTTGACATACAGTATGAAAAAGAAATTTTAGCTAATGAATTTCATCACTTGATTTCAGACAGGAAATACATTATTTCCCCCCCTCCACAACTCCTCCTACTTGCTAACCGATTCCCTCAGAGGGTAACTAGTGTGCAGGACAGTTGAATGAGAAGTAAAATGTACAGAACAAAGAGAGCATAGGTTTTGTCTGCAGGGCAGAAGAGACAAAAATATGGTCTGATGAACTCATCAAAGTCAACGAGGATGGGGGAGGGCATTGGGAGATTCAGTGAAGGTGGATCCAAGCTACAGTCTCTGACACGCGACACCCAAAACCTTGCATTAAGAAAACCCAAACAACTCTGTGCACAACAAATGACTTGAAGAGAATGATAAAACCAGTGGCCAAGAATTGCAAAAATTGAAAACGTACAGGATTGAAAATCACTTTACATAAGGATTTTTTTTTTAAATTATTATTATTATTATTTTCACTACTCTAATGGGAAGGGTGTTTAAATGCAATACTGCTTTAAAAAGAAACTCCAGTCTTGTTAGCCTTACTTATTACCGTTAATCTGTGGGTAATTCATATCCACCATCTCATGCCTGCCTTAGAAATGGAAAATAAGGCTCAATTTCTGATAAATAAATATTACTGTGTTTATATGCATACATGGTTACCAATATTTTTTGGCTTCTCACAATTTTGTTTCACAGTTGAAAACAGAATTTCAAGGGAGAAGCAAGTATCTGCTTTGGCCTAATGACTTATTTTCCATAAGAAAACTTATATAAACAATTACTGGGTTTTCTCCATTTAGTTTTTATAGTCAAAATGTCATTGCTGGCCAACATAACAACAGTATTGTGTTTTATAAATCTCGCAATGACTTTCTTGTTGTCTCCCATCTTCATCTCTCATTTATGCAGATAAACAGATCTTTTAGTTAATTTCAAAGCCAAACTCTAAAGGCAACCAACAAAAATCTGGATGACATTAGTTGAAAAATCTATACTGAAACTGTACCAAGAAAGCAAGCTGCAGCTCGAGTTTTAAATTTACAACGGAGATGCTAAGACCCTGGTTAACACCAGTAAAAAAAGGTACATATATGCTAAAGAGAACCAGCTCCCTGATAGAAAAGAACTACCTTTCATAGTGTCATTGTGCCAGAAATATCCATGGCCAAGTGACAGACCTCTACTTTCTTTATACAGTTAAATTACATAGATTAAAAAAAACCAAACCCATCTCTGTCTCACTGTAAACACATATACTAAAACATATGTTACAATACCATTAATATATAAAAGGGATATTGGTTAGAATCCTGTAAAATCAGAGAAAAAGCTAGTCTGTCTTCCCTACAATCCAATATTTAATTAAAATTTTTAATTTAATTAAAATTAATTAAAATAATGCTAACAGAAAGACATGGTACAGACACAAAACAGCTTACAGCTTTCCAGTGTTCTGGGTAGGTGAGATATCATACACACTATCCCCAAAAGCAGGCAAACACAGGAGCAGTCAAATGACACCCAATAGCACCAACCTTCACTGCCTGGAATGCATGTAATGGTTGCCCTTCCTGCTTTCATTTCTACAT